ACGCAAACAATTTCGTAGATTCTAGTGTCACATAACTTGACTGGTTTTATTTGATTGATACCAAGTTACAAAACCTTGACTTTAAAACGCCAGTGACTAATTTATCCAGAATAAAAGTGCTAGCCTTAAATATGTTGAGAAATAGAAACAAGTCAGACTGAAACTTTAGTGATAAACAACATGATTTCGGTTGTTATGCGATTTAAACCATAAGGAAGAATAATTTCGTGTGGCACAGAACCGAACGAGTAATGTTTATTCTTTTCAGCATACTACCTTAGAGTGATTTAATTGAAATTAAGTGTAGTAATGGACGAGTGAGATGATATACAGATGATTTGAAACACTTTGTTATTAGTTAATAGTAGGAACTTAAGATCCTAAATTCTACAGGAAATTCACCGGAACTGCAAGATTATTTAGCCAGCTGATCGTGTATTATATCAGTTTTATTAATAAAATAGCTTTTTAAGCACTAAATGCTTAGTACAGTGTGCGTAATTAAAAATGTGCAGTGGTATTTTCCCTTGTCGAGTAAATCTTTTAATTTTAAATATATCTGAAGGTGTAGAAGCATCTTTGATAATTATTTAAGTTGGATTTCTCAGTTACAGTAAAACAGAAGTCTCAGACTTCTGTAGTGAATGTCTATCACTTTTAGAACATTAAAAATACTTATTCTAAGGATTGGTTCTTTTACTCGCGCTTTTAGAGATTTTTTGTGTTGTTCTCTCTATGAGATCACTTAACAATTTTAATGGAGAAAGTTAAACATCATTGTGGTAGACCCACATACTCCTTTCCGGTCAGGGACTGAATGCAATGTAGCAACTGCAATAATTGTTAGCACAACGCGCGCACCAGACTTACACCGACTACATATAAAAGGTGTTGCTAGCCGCTATTACGTTGGCTGTGCAAAGCATGTTGTTCTACAAAGTTTCTACCGATCCTTGAAGCGATTGAGCTGCTAGACATAGCTAGAAAGACGCCCTCTGATAAACAGCCAACAGTGGATGAGCGGCTGTCAGTTTATGAGGAAGCAGAGAGAGAGTTATTATGAGTCCGGCTTTGGAGTTGAATGGAACCATCAAGGTGGACCCCAAAACGTAGCGGATAACAAATACACAGATGTAGGCATAGTTACAAGGAAAGAGAAAAAGCACGCAAAGAAGAAACAAATTATGAGGAGCTATAAGATAAATGAGACGAGGATTTCAGCTCTGGATTACCATATCAACGCAAAACAAACTATGGATAGTCAAAGCCTGAACGGTGTAGATGATTTGACAAAATAGGTTCAATGATTGGCTTACAGTCACACCCAGGAAAAGAAGCATAGTAAGACCTCTGAGTTTGACGCCAAATCGAACTGTAGGGAGAGTTCAGGCGACAAAACTCCACAGCTTGTTAAGACGGACCTTGCTAAGAAGTCAGTCATTTTTCATAAGTTGAGAGTCTTCCGAAAAGAAACTGAATGCTAGATTTGAATAGGAAGACAAAGCAAGTCCTCAATAAGCAAGCTACTTTTAGAAACAGTAGCAGGAGTTAACATTCATGGGTTTTATGAAGTAGAACAAAGAGTGAGTTCTGAAAGTACGCAGAAAAGCCGCCTCCTAAAGGTTACCTTTGCTTCGGCTGAAGAAAGAAACCTAATTCTCGGAAAACTCACAAGGGTCAAACTAATTGGATCCGGAACATACATCCATAAGGATCTTAGCCTGGTTGGTCGTATTAAGACACGATAAGCCGAAGTAGAAATAAATGAGCGCCTGCGAAACAGTAAAAAAGCCACTTACTTAAGGGTTTTCAACTTGTAAAAGTTCGGAGTGTAAAGATTCCCGAACCATTTTAGGTGGTAAGGGAAGTTCTTCACAGAATTAAATGTGTGCTACACGAATGTTCGCAGCCTACAAAATAAAATGGCAGGGCTCAAGAAAATGGAGGGAATAGAAAACCCTGATGTCATTGCTGTCTCAGAAACATGGTTAACGTCAGAGGTGTATGACAGTGAAGTTCAATTGATGGGTTTTTACTCAGTAGCGTTGATAGACTAAACTGCAGGGGTGGTGGGGTTATCCTGAACACAAAAAGCACCTTAAACTAAGAACCGTCGAGACAGTGGCACACGACTCAGGGACATGTGAACTGGTGCGTTGCCTGCTGAAATGTAAACGCCAAGATATTGAATTAGTTGTGGTATACCGCAGTCCAGAATGTACAAAGAATGACTTACTCCTAAGTAAACTTACATTTTGGTCAAACAGGTGTGAAGGTCCTATAGTAAGTGACTTTAATGCAGTCTATAAATCGGGGAAATTTGGAAGTAAAGTCATCGAAAACACCACTTGATTGCAAAATTTTAGCAATCACAATCGCTCTAAATTTATTCCAGAACATAAGAGATCCCACCCACTTATCGACTTAGAATACGCAGATGATATAGTCCCGTTTGGTGAAGACGTTGATAAAATGAAGTCTTGTGGTAGCGCTAAGCAACAATGCCAGAATGTTTGGGATGTGTTTCTCCCCCGGTTAGGTAACAGTGAGGTTAGACGCCGGGTTTTAGGAAATGATGGTAAATCAGTTGGTGAAATTGTGAATCTTCATCGACTGAGATGATTGGGCCACGTGTTACGCATGCCTGGACACAGATTACTACGACGCGCAATGCTGAATAGTGATGGAAGAAAGTTAGGGAAGGGCAAACCAAAACGTGGCACCAGTGTGTAAAGTCACTAACTTCTAGTCTGAGCCATGTTGGTAAATGCAGACTATTTGGTTGATGTCCGCGTGACTATCGTAACCAATGGTTGAAGACTATAGGTGACACGGCTCAGAATCGATCACAATGGCGTAGGTGTATACACCCTTCGTCTTCTCTTAAACGGTGAGATTGAAATTGCTTTGTATCTTTCTTTTTTCTTCCTGTACCGTATCCTTATATACAATCTTTCTTTCGTATATTACAACAGTTGAAGTGACTGCTTCTATGAATTCGGTGCTGATCTTGTTGTGGCGTGTTGGACCTGGTTCTACGTTGCAGCTTAATAACTATCTATAATCAAGCAGCCTAACTGTTTTCATACATAAATTACAGAACGAGAACGCAGCATTAGATTCTCAACCTAATTGCGAAAGGGAGAGGATCTCAAATGATAGATGATGATCAGGACAAATTAGAGGCAATGGTGGACCATTTTGGGAGTTTTCACTCACGAGCTTCTAAACAAAGAACTAGACACAAATACAGAGTAACAAAACCAGTTGCTAATCATTGACTTTGATGGAGACGTTGTACTAAATGCCGTTAGCACTTAGGATACGTAAAAAACGACAAGACCAAATAAACTACACCATAGATCCTTTACTTTCTATATAGTACGAACTCTAAAGTATAGTTGAGTCTCCAATGCTACTATAAAGTGATGCAAAAATCTGGTAAGAAACATGAGATGCAGATGCATGTGCACCTTTGGCATAATTAGATGTTGCGATTAAATGATCTAAAGAATGACTAATGCCTATCGACGAGGCCGAGTGCGCCTACATGCACACTGGATAAAAATGCAAACAGTTACAGCATGAGGAAGAGTCCGTACCCATATCCGTCTCTCAAGGATTTTGGGCTGACAGTGAGTCATATTTTTAAGGCCACAGGGTCGCAGCTAAGGGGTTCAGAGCCCAATGGGCTTTAGGACGGTCACTGACCAATATAGATACTATTGTTTTCATTGTAGTATGAACATACTTAGTGAGATTCAAATTTTAGAAGTGCGTTCAGGCTACAAACCCTCGGTTAAAAGGTGACTCGCATATACTGAAAAAGTACAGAGAGCAGCTACCTATGCAACTCCAGAACTCCGGGGTTTACCATACACATAGAGACTTGAGATGTTGGATATTTATAGCTTAGGTGGATAAATTTGATGGAGTTTTATTCCCTGAGGATAGTTTGACCGTAGAATTTTGTGATAATGATGTCGTCCAGAAGAATGATGAGAGCTCCACGACCAAACCATCCAGTTCAAAGCAAAACTCTATCGAAAGCGACTTGAGAATTCAGACTTCATAACTCCGTTGTAGCACGTATTAGGTGATCTGATTTTAGTGTATAGAACACTAAGAAATGGTTTTGGGCGCGATATACACTCTTAATTTCTTCCTACCAGGTTAGAACGACACAGCGGACGAGTAGAAAAGCGAAGAATAAACGAAATATCATGTCACACAAGTTTTCATACCGGGTCATCAATTCTTGAAAGTTGTCACTCGAAAAAGTGGTAATTGACCCTCCAATTGGTTGGAAACTGTCAAAAGGTTACAAAAAAGAACTAACACAGGACGTATGTCTTCTGTTCCTGCTACACAAATCTGAATCTGGGATTCTTAACATAGTTGTGACACTAATGAAAACGCCGCATCAGACTGATACTTTCACCGACCAAACTAAGGACTTAGAGTATTGCACTAGAGGCCCACCTGCATTGTATCGTTAACTATGTACTGTTGCATTTTATGCATAACAATATACCGACCTAATATTAAAAAAGGCTGCCGTCATTTCTAAAAACAGACAATATACATCTGAAGAATACATAACGTTTCAACTACTAAACCGGAAAGAAGAAAGGAAGGAGTTATCTGTTAGTTCTAAGTGTATATATAGAACCTACTACGTTTTTGAGGAAATCGATTTTGCGCCCAGGTTAGAGCGCGCACTTTGAAATAAACTAAAACAAATTATAATAAACAGTTCTCAACTTTCTATCAACAAATAATGAATAATGATGTATAAAAAATTATTTTCGGTCTACTCTACAACATTCACTGTCTCATCTACCAGTTGATGATGAAGTCCATCTTATTCCGTGCATCCGGTTTTGAAATTCGCTACGAAACTTGGCCATTTTACAATTTCATGTATTTTAGTCCCTGTGTGGACTCAACAAGCTTTCCAATTCACTGGCCACTTTGGACAAAACGTCGTTTACCTCGAAATGAAGGAATTATCCCAAGGTATTATAAATGAAAATGCTTTTATATATTTAAAGACTCAATAGAGGAAAGATATGAAATGCTTAAGAACTTGTGCAAACAACAGATCGTGGTAAGTGTGTTTGTCTTTTGGTTTCTTACATGTCTAAAGATAAATGAGACTCTGAAATCCGAAATCACTAAGTTAAACAATATTATCCGCATAGTTTCTAGTGAGAAAGAGTAAGTTCTTGGGTCTTCGTCAACTACGGCTTATAATTTTAGTTTACTACTGGATGAATTGATCAATAATCATTCTACTTGTCGGAACGCTGTCAGAGACGACTCCAAACCTTTTCAAAAGTAGGTTTCTGTCTGCTTATAACACTTTAGATCGGTTATCTCTGCCGGCCATAAACGTCCTGTGAATTTTTCCGAGAATTGTCAGGATCTAAAAAAAATAAAGAATGACCCGCATGTCGCTGGTAAGTCCACTGAAGTAGATATTTGTTCCTAAGAAAAGACGTACTATACTCTTTCTCATTGTACTTTATTGAAATAAAGTCCATAGTCCCTGGGGTTTCACTTCGACATAACAGTCCGTCACTATAGATTGGTCTAATGGGAAGAGGCAAAATGCGATCAAGACTTCGCTCTTAATGATCACTATCAATAAATCTCAGATCACTTTAGATAAATATGAAAGTACTTCATATTGGCTGCGTATTTATGCGGTGAGATCCATCCAGATGAAGCACCTTGTTAACGTCAAGCGTCATGAGTCACCAGTCTTTAATGTATAACATCCCATATTACTATTATTCTTTGCATTAACTGGTAATTAGTCATTCTAGTATCCCTGTCTGATTTTCTAAGGAACTGTGCTATGTAAGGACAATCCATTTTCAAATAATGCGAGGTAACTTGGGTTCACCCACCACTCTTAATGTTATTGGTAGTTGGTAGGTCACTAAGGGAATCTTGGTCAGTTAGTCATGATCAGCGTAGTCTGTCATAAATGTACGTCAGCCTTGATTCTCACACCACAAATGAAATTGATACAAGTAATTACGAAGGAGTGAGAATTATCGTGAGAATTTAGCATCTAGAATATGGTTCGAGGAGGAATTAAGAGGTATGTTTGATTGAATACTGGAACTCAGAACCTAAAGGACAATAAAGAGTGAATACATCTGCTTCTGTGATAATTAATGAATAATGTCGTACATTGCTTTCAACCACTGATCATAAGTAAATCACACTGATTCTGAAAGTCCATGATTTTCACAACGGTTCTGTCCAACAAACGTTACTTTAAAAGTAAATTAGCAGCCTGTCGGTTGCTGTTGTGTTCGTTGACTCAAGCAAAACTTCCGACTAGAGTTTAAACTATAAAGTCTCGTTTTCTTTTTCATTCATAGATCATAACGAAAATGCGGGTTTCCACGGTGACCCAACCAGTTTATTAGCTTTGAATTCAATCTCAGCACAAGAAAATGTAAGTTTAAGTTGAATTTATCTACATACTAAAATATTTATTCCTATTTTGTCTCTGATAATCTTCATATCCTAGCTAATAGTTGTAAAATATACCTTTTTAAAGTTGAAAACAGAGACGTACGAATTATTATTCATAGATAGACTCAAAGTACTTGAATGTTAAACATAACCATCACATATTCAATGCTAATATGAGACAGAATACTGTTAGATTCATCACTTGATGTTGTGCCGATGTGTTGCTGTAGGACGTATTATGTATTTGAAGTTATTCAGTTATCAAAAGAATGTTTTAATCCTTAACTCTAATAAAGTCTCTATTACTTCCCTGTTTAGGAAGATCGTTGGATTTCGCATGACCAAATAGAGACGAACCAAAGTCATCTGTCTGGTCATTCATCTCTTATATCTACTAAACCCAGGTTACAATACCAAATCCCTTCAGTTCATTCAAAGACAACCATTTCCGCTACTCCTAGTGGCGATAATGATACCTCATCACGGATGCTAAGTTCTTCTGGAAATACTTTGAAATCGAGCCTGAGTAATCCAGGATCGCCGCCTACAATCACTTCAAATACTCATTTAGTTACACCAGTTGCTGCTAGTTCCAATAATTTACTTACTACCCAGCGACCAAACAGAAGTGGTTCTCTTGTAACTAACTCGTCAGTATGTCCTTCAAATCCATCGATTCCTTATGTATCATTCGCATCCCAACGAGCACCTATTGGTTCCCACTCAAAATATGTATCTGTAACAAACCGTCCCCTAAAAGTTGTTAGTCCTGGGACTGTAAATAATACAGCTAGTAACATTTTAAAGTCTGTGACTTCGCCTACTATATCCCCTGGAATTCGATTGTCGAGTAGTCAACCAACAAACCAGCGTATTTTAATTCAACCAAGCAACTGTAACGCTCGTTCGGCTGTCTTTCCTCGACAACAATCTCATGCAAAGTAAATCGGTTTTTGTGTTAACTTTTTCGATTATTTCTATCCTAGCACTTTTATGTACTCTTAATCAGGTAAAATAGTATATAAAAATGTTTTAAGTTTTAAAGCCTCGAAATATAATCTAGCCATGATATCATTAAATGTTTTCAATGAGACAAAGCAGTGTTTCTTGAGTGCTGTTAGAGGTATGAGGGCGGTTATCACTTCCCGGTTGCCTACATCGTGGAAGGGTTCTTCTGGAAATTGGATTAGAGGTGGTCTTAGTGACCTGGGAGCGTGACCACAGTGCTCAAGTGACAACTGCTTGAGGTAATTTTTGTGTTAGCTCCGTACTTGTTGAGACCTTGCTGCCGGAGACGGATATCCGTGTGATAAGGCGAGGTGTGCATTTTTAGGGTCGACCTTTTCTAACTCCCCACTCCTCCTTGTGGGAAGGCAGCATCGCTGTCATACTGGGTGTCTGAAGGAAACACCTTACTGCTATCACACCTCTGTACAGTCAGCATTGTTTCAGGAGCATATGTAGGAAGTCGATAACTGTTCTGAGCACCTTGCAAAAAAATACCATCACTTATTTCTATTGTTCCAAATTGGCGGTGATAAGTGGCATTCTAAAGCCGTCTTTTAATAACATATTTGACATTGTTGTAGGCTTGTCTGGTGATAAACTTGCCGATTGTGAATAGGTAGTCTGTTACAATGAAGTGACAAGTAAACTACTCAAATTATACATAATCAATTGGAGGTCAACAATTAGTTTATGACAAGTATTGTACATCAGTATGTATTTATGAAATTAGTTAAATTTTATGCCGAAATCCAATTTCTGATGACGTATTAAAAGGTTTACGTACCTGTATAAATGTGTCAATGGTTATGCTGACATAGCAAATAAAATCAATCTACACAGTGAGGACCAGAGTTGCGCATGGCACTATTGGCCCCTTAGCTCTGTTATTACCTCAGTCTAGTGAATAACACTGGGATGCAAATAGTTCTACTCAACCCTTATGAAACTTGTCTATCTAAAGTGAGGCTGTTTGAACACCACCCCCACGAGTTTCCTCTTGTTTAGTGACAAAACCATGTAAGTGATCCAGGAGTGTGTTGTCCCAGTTGACAAGACAAGATATTTCGACCTTTATTAATTGCTAATGTTTCTCCATTATCAAAGCTATTTGTTAGTTCTCTCATTTCATTTTCATTTTTAGTGATTCTTGCGAATTTGGGTACGCAGAGAGATGAATGGCTTATTTAACAAGTATCATTATGTATATTTGAAACTAATTATTTCATGTGATTGTTGGTATTATTATTATCATGTTGGTATAAAGTGAACCATAACCATAATTGTACAGTCTCATAAATATTTATTTGTCAATTCATACGTAAATATATTTCACCCTATTTTTCGCTCTTTTCATACGTATTTTGTAAGACAACATGGTTTCGATTTGTTTCTGTAGCTCTACTATCAACCAGTTCTCTTCATTCTACTTTATGGGTGCTAAGCATGGAATTTAAAAATAAGGGATATTAGTATTCGATCATTAGTATCTTCGAACCGTTGTTCGTATATTTTAGGATCATTGAGTTAGCAATTCTGAGGCTAGGCGCAGAGTACTAGGTAAATATGACAAATTGATGGACGAAGTGGTGAATCTTTATCGACTGAGATGGTTAGAATATTTATTATGTATGCCCATACACTGACTACCTCGATGCACATGAATGAATGGCATAAGAATAGGCTGGGAGAAAGATGAGGGGGGGCCAAACCAAAACCTGACATTAGTCCACTAAGTCACTGGCTGTAGGTGTAAACTACTCGGTTGGAGTCCACATGGTTATCGTAACCAGTGATTAGAGACTTTGAGTGACATAGTCCAGAATTATTCACAATGACGGAGGAGCATTCACTCTTAGTTTCTCAATTCCTCATAAAAAATTTTGTTCCTCTGATTTATATTTTTTGAATCATATCTTCACTGCCTGTTACTACCTATACTATGGGATTTGTCCTGACAATTTCGTCTCGTGTTAATGGTGTGTGGCAACCGATCTACTCATGTGTCACGTTTTGAGTTGCGTTTGACAGACTCTATAGTCTAAGGTTTTCCCAGCTAGTCAGAATGTCACATTAAAAAATAATTTTGTTTCAGTGAGTTGTTAAATGATAGAACTGTATATACTTTTGGTATTTTATACACTCCAACTAGACTGAGAAAGATCTACTGGACAATTGGCTGTATTCGTAAATGATGTACAAGTTTAACTCAAAGCTAATCAAATGATTCCAAACAGTGTCATTGTAGTAGTTTATCGTTAGTTCATCAGATGATTTATTCGTACCCTATGCGTCATTTTCTTATATATTGGCTCCATGGCTTAAATATACTACAAACCACTTAGTAATATGTATGTTGCAATTAATCACCTAACTGTAATGGATACTATTCGGTTGTTTTTTGTTAGTTAGTTTAGGTGAGGTAACATATCTTTATTGACTTCGTACAAAAGATTTTCTATTTAGTCTTTTCTTGATGTTGGATGGATATCTATTAAAGGATGACTTGTTAATGAAAGATTGTTGGGAGATGCTGACCACTTGGTTGGGGTCCGTGTGACTATCGTAACCAATGGTTAGAGACTTGGTGACATGGTTCAGAATCGATCACAATGGCGTCGGTGTATACACTCTCTGTCTTCTCTTAAACTAAGATGAAAATCGCTTCATATTTTTCTTTCTACGAACTAATTCTTTCTTCCTGCACTGTATCCTTATATCCAATCTTTCTTTTATATATTATCACCACTGAATTAACTACTTCTATGAATCCGGCGTCCATCTTGTTGTGCTAATAAGGTATGGCAACTTGGACCGATGCATATATGTGCCTGGTCCTACGTTGTAGCTGACTGACTAATGAAAGATTAACTTAATAGAAGGTACAAACCAATTCGGGTTAATAACTAAATTTTCTTCATTAGTACATAGGTGTTCTATAGTATCAGATATTCCTCAAATTGTTTTATGAAAACAAATAAGCGCTCATCAAACTTTATCATCATCTCACAAATGTTTCAATTAGACTACCCACTAAATTGGGGTTAATTAATAAAGCTAACCTAGTGTAATGTTTTTTTATACTACCATGTTGGAATCCACGAAATAAAGTCAAGGGTGATCAAACCAAACCGTGACGTCAGTTCATAAAATCATTGACCATTAGATTAAACCGTATTGGTAAATACTGACTACATTATTAGGATCTGTATGATCAATGACTGAAGACGTATGACATATCGTAGATGAGTTCACTCTCCGTCTTCCTCCAGCTCTTGGGTTACAATATATCTATTCATATTTGCCTTTTCGGAATATATTTCCAGTATTCAGTTCGTCGTTTCCGTTTATACTATTATTATTTGGACTACTATTCATATTGTTGTGCTCATGTGTTATGGTGACTTCGGTTTGTGTATTGTTGTATCGAGTTCTACTTTAATTTTGAGTGATATGGGTCATATCAACTGTGCAGCTCTACTTGTTTTTCGAACATATTGCTGGGATTCCTATCATCACCATTCTACTGTTGATGTATTTTCGTCAATTCTTATTCAAAGCTTGATAATACAGAATGATACCAATCAATCATTATTTAGCAAACCGTTGGTTTAAATAGTCAACTCCCAACCTATTATTAGGTTTCAAGTTCGAACTGCACTTCGGGTAGTATTACTAGTCTTTATTCAATCAATGGATTGCTCAAAGCTGGGTTTATAAGCTTGTGATTGATCAATAAGTCAACTAATCGCAACCGAGTAAATATCCGACCTTCTATTGAGTATTCACTTCCACATGCACATTCGTCTAGATTTTAGAGGTAGTCATTTATGAAATGAAATCTTTTTAATGGAGCTACAATTCAGAACAGGAAAAGCTAAGATGAAATCCGTATTCCCAAAGTCTAACACTTCAGTATAACATTTTAGAAGTAAAATAACTAGCTTCCTGACAGCTCTAAGAGATTCCCATTTTGGAAGAAAACATTTCATTAATACTGAAGCATAAAGAAATGATAGTTTGTTAGTGTGAATGGAATAGATCCTTGATGATTCAAGTGAAACTGAGTAACGATCAATGAGTTGAAACAAAAAACTTCTTTCCAAAACACCATACAATCGTTTTATGACCAAAATGCCTTGAGTTAGTATTTGAAGTTAAGCTAGTTAACTATTCCAAATGATGATAATTTATTGAAGATAAACTCAGAAATCAAAATGAATAAGGTCATTTTTTAATAAATCAGGTAGATGAATTATTCTCAAGCTGTCTGTTAGATGTGTGATCATACATTGTCATGAAGATATTTGATGGCTAACATCAGTCAACAGGAAATTCTTCTTGGCCAAGATGGATGCTAATTAGCAAGGTTAATCTTCAATCATAGAGAAACTGATAACCATTGTAGGATCCGATCATACAATATCACAGTCAGATATTACCATTGAGTTATTTAAGCATCGGCTGATTTTATATAGGGTTGAGATATTTATATAATTTGTTTAATTCTTGTCATGAAAAAGAAATGACCCTGTTCGACAGTTTTGATCTTAACAGCAATGACGTAGCTTTACATGCATTTTAATTTCTTGAAAATACTTTTTTACTGAGGCTTATTAATCGATGAATGTTAAGAATAGTTTCCTTGTTAACTTTGTGTTTCTGTTGATAATGTGAGTTATTTTGAATTGTTTGAAATCCATGTTAGATACGGGGTTGAGATTACTTTCTCGATTTATGGAGTACAGAGATATAGTTAAGAAGCTCTCGGAGAAATGATGAAAGTGTAGTGCCGGTTACTATGTTAAGCCTATATACCTTATTCTAGCTTTCGAACAGACAAATCTATTCATTCTACTTGAGTCACATTTTATTAATTATTCACTTATCAACTTTGACTGCCTTTATATGAGCGTATGTGTGTGTGTACATTTCTTATCCTATTCATCACATATATGTAGCTTATTCTTGTGTGACTATAAATAATAATTAACCCTCGGTTAAAGGGAGTTGGCTCATATGCCTTCACTGCGCGTCATTTCGCTTCGCTTCATTCCCCGATTACCTGTTCAAATCAATGAGTCCATGAAAGATACATATTCAAAATTCATTCTCGTATTTGATTTATTTAATTCTGTTATTCACTAACGCGATCTAAGTCGATAATTATTTACGAGAATTGACGATATGTGTATTTCAATAACAATCATTCATATGATCTCACTGGAGTCAGATCCTGGGTCACTAAAGTGGTGAACCCATCAACAAAATCGTGCGGTCTAATTGTTGCCCCCAAATGCCCTGGTATGGTCGAGAGTGAAGGGAGTCCCCTCTCCTTCTCGAAATGCTCTCACATGGCCACACGTATACAGCCTCTGCCAGGGAAATCCTACTCACTGCCTTCTCGTGGCGCGGGTGTTGTTTACGAAATTGAGAGGACGAAATGCGAATGTCCGGCGCTTTAACCGGATCCCAAACCAATGGTGCACATGAGCTACAGTATCCTTCGGGAACAAATGGCGTATGAACCGATTGTTGGTCACCGGCTACCATGGGACTGCATCTCCTTACGATGCTTCACTGCCTTGTGGATTAGAACTTCAGGTCAAAGGTTCGGGGTGTGGCCCTCTAAGAAAGCCACCTGCTTTGATCTGGCCACCCGGGCAGTATCACAGCCCTCACACAAATATGATGAACTGTCGATAATGGCCTAATTGTTGTCAAAGGGAATGTCCCCATTGTTGTATTCGCTTTCTTCCCTGAAATACTTAAACATATAATCAATCAAATTTTTATTTCATTATCCTCTTTTCTTTTAATATAGCTTAAGTTGTGCTGTAGTGTACGTTGCTTATGTCTATCCTTATATCTGTTTGTCTAACTATCAACAAGAAAACAAATACAAATGTCACCATCATTCTCTCTGTCTTATACAAAATTGGGTGCGTTTATTGATATTTAGTTGTTTATAGATGGTTATCCATCATATTGTTAATATGGATTTTTTAAAAGTCTATGATCTTAACACCCTTATTCTCATATCGGTTTTCTTTCTTGCATTAGTGTAACATAGTAGTAATACATTCAGAATAATCAATTAGACAAGCGTCAACTGTAGGGCTTCTTTGGGTTGTTTTTTTTACAAAGGTCTATATTTTCCCAGTGTTCGTTTGTTTAT